TTTTTCCATTTTTTAAAAAGTGGGCATGTCAGTGTATGTGTATCTGTAAGTGGGAGGAAAGGTAAAAAGGAACAATAGTGTTTCCTTGCACATGTGGAAAAATAATAACAGCAGAATTTCCTCGACTATGGGCCAAACTCGCACATCAGCAGAAATCAAAAGTGTTTAGTGAGCCCATATAGCTGAATATGTAAGTACAACAAGTAATGAGTCTTTTTCTTTCTTTCTCAAATTATAGCAAACAACAAGAAAGAAATGAACCAATGTTTTTCCATCTCTTGAAAACTTGAAAGATTATGATATCTGCGTTTGTTCGTGTAGGTAAATGCATCAGTGTACATTATAAGGTAAGTGTGTCAGTTTGTACGTGTGTGTGCGAGAGAGCGTGTGTGTGTGAGAATGTGAGTGTCTGTGTGTGTGGTAATGTTTTGACAAGTACGTGTCCATGTATATTTACTATGCCACGGCAAATTTTTCTTTATGGGGATCAAGAAATGTCATGTTATGTTATCTTATCTTTGAATCTCAGCTAAAGATTTCTTACTTTGAACTGTTGAGCTGACATTGACAGAGTAGCTTCCCTTCGTCCCTTTTACTTTGGCAGTCACCTGTGTACAGCACAAAGAATAAACAAAGAATTGTTAGAATTTATAGAGAAAAAAGTCAAAGAGACAATTTCTATATACCTGTTGCCCTTAAAACAAAGGCTAAGATAATATTACAATAAATTCCTTTTGACATGACTTCTAATATCATAATACCATCTCAGTCCCCTAAGGACATACAAAGCTGTAGTCTGTGAGCTGCGTGTTGCTATCATTCACAAACTCTGAGACTGCCCATAGCAGAGTAGTATTTACCAGATGTGTGAACTGACAAAAATACAGAGAAGTAATTTTCTCAAGAAAACACTGTCTTTCTGAGCTGAGCAGGAAACGGAACCAATGACCATATTATTTTAATGACTGTGAGTCCCATGCCCTAAAACAAAAACCAAGAATACTAGGGATAACACAAGGCATCAATAAATATGGACTGTTTAAATGATCAAATAGCAGCAATGCAATATTTTAATGTTAAAACCTTAAGAACATTGAGAAGTTGATCAACATGATAAACCAGAAGTTAGAAATAAGAAAAGTCAATAAAAAAATTAAGTTCTCAGGTCACCGTCTTTGTCTTGTCAAATCAATGAGCTTGGTATCAGAAGACAGATGATTCTGTTTAGGTACTATAAAATGAGTAATGAGTAAAGCTGGCCAACTACTGCATTGGAACCCATGACATTGGAATTCTCAAAGGAATTCAAAACATAAGCAAAAAACGAACTGGACAAAACCCAGACAAAAAGAGTGTGGGGAAAAACCTGGCATACAGAAAGTCATTTTTTCCCTTTCTGTAGCTTTTAACTAAAAAAAAAAAAATCTGATATAGGTTTAGTATAAAAGGTGTCTTTCAAATTTGAAATGATACAACACAATGCAGACCTATGTCAGATCTTCACTTTCTCAAGATATACAATTAAATTACTATTTGTTGGAGACAGGGTGTATGTGTGTGCGTGTGTGTTTGTAAAATTCTATGTAAACAGGTACAAACCTCTGAAACACTTCGTCCGACCATATCAGCAATCTTTTCCCAACGCTGAGGAGTGCCTCCGGGGAACTTATTCACTGCTTTTGACAAAAAGACTAGCTCTTCATCAGTCCATTCACCCTGTAAAGAACATGTGACAAAGATGGTGACAAATACATCAGAGGTGCCAACTGGCTACAAAAAAAATTCCGTGACTCTTTGGATGCAGTGGAAACAGGTGCGTAGAAACTCAACATTTATGGGTCATTTTGTCTAAAACAGTTCATATCAAGACTATTTAAATAAAGACAAAATGCAGCAACTTCTCAACAATTGGTCTTAAGTCAGGCAAAATCAGTACAATTTCAGGAATCCAGATTTCCGGATTTATCCAGAAAATGGGTACCTCTGATACATGAATACAACTTTATTTTGAGGAGTTTTTTCTCATAGCACTAAATTGCTTTGCTTTCGAAATACCCCAATTTGCATCAAATACTATATTTCAGTCCAATAAAACAATCAAACGTGTCATAAATGGGGTATAATCTGAGGGGAAAGTAGGTGCTTAAGAAGTCAAGTAAGTATTTTCTATTCCAACAGAAACAAATTCACACATTGAGTTGAGAAGCATAAAATATGTGTCACGACATGGTGGAATCAAGTGCTTGTCAATCTTTGGGCATATGGGGTTGTTGCTATTATCTTAAAGCCTGTTCATTTGCCTTTCTATGGGTGAAAAAAAATAATTCTATGTTGAATAGAAGTCAAGATATTTGCGATTAGAGGAGGTAAGGGTCACCTGGTTTCAGTGGTAAAATTTGTGAGAAAAGGCGGTCAAAGTTTGGTAATGTCCATAGCCTTAGAGTCCTTAGAAACAGAAAAACTTTTTGTGCTTTTAATCACTATTTTTTAGTAAATCCACACAGAAATGAATTTTTTAAAGGATAAGAAAGGTGTTGAGTCAAAATACAAAACAAAAAAAAAGGGACAAAAAATGGCCCTACGGCCAGAAAAATAATAATAATAATAATAATAATATATAACATTTATATAGCGCATTTCCAAAAAAAGTAGCTCAATGCGCTTTACATTGGAATACCCATTTTTCAAAAACCTTTCTTACTACTTCCTTTCTTCTCAAGCAATATACATTAATGCACACACACACATACACACACACACACACACACACACACACACACACAGAGACTATTTTCATCCAGACATAGGAACAGAACAAATATAATGAAAGATAACGTTAAAAGCTTATGAAGGATAGGCCTGTAGGAACAGAAAATGTTTAAGATGTCTTTTGAAGCTATCAAGAGTTCTTATTTGTCTTTGATTTTGTTATTTTGACGAGCTCCTGATTTCACCACGATGCCTCGCATATTTCTTAAACTACATAACGGGCAACCAAAATAAATGATAACATCGCACACATAATTGGGACATTCGAAACAATAGAAAGGTGATAGACTAGTGGGATGACTAATGGAAAGTTCCCACTTTGTTAATGACATGCCAGTCGTATTATAACAGGGAAGGCAGGAAATCCCAACCCCACTGTGTGGCAACAAAATGGTAATAGCCTTGCCTTCTTCAGCTGTGAGTTTGGTTTCTCTTTCACATCAGCCTGACTGGAAGTCCGATTCATAGAAGACTGTACGGATGCGTACATTTCATTACTGTATTCTGGGAGCTCTGTAGGTGCTCTTTTCTTGGGCTTGCGTGTCACCTCTGCAAAACAATAAAAGGTATTAAGTCTCTTCAAAAACATCCTCCTTTAGTGTACCATGGTCCGCAACTTATTTGTAGCTTTTGGAAATTCTACGGCTAGCCATTCATATTCTGAATTGAAGGAATATCACAATTAATTTCGTTAGTTAGGGCCAGTTTGAAAATTGTCTTAGAATAAACACAAACATAGAGAAGAAAAGATAATAGCAGTCATAATAAGAAACAAAATGATTTAAGCAAATATTGATTCAAAATTTTATTCTACAGAATATTTATACAGATCCACACAAACGACAGTTTTAGATTAATTTGACCAGATTCTAGTGACTCATGAATCAACTTTTGTGAATATATCTGAAGTACATTCTTTACTGATGAGTCACACCTGCATCCAGACAAAAGCAAGTGGAGACATTCACAAATGCATGCATTGTCATTCTATTTCAAATGTATTTTATAAATAAAGTTGTAGCTTTCTTTAATTCGAAAATGCTGTTTACATGCGTGTATCATTTGTCAAAACTCCCGTAATTTTTTTTCCAAAGGAAAAAACCCCCCACCCCACTTGATGGAACATATGAATACTCTGGAAAACTGAAATGTTCAAGCAAATGAAAAATCTGATCAATGCCAAATTTTTTTTCTGTAAGGGGGTAAGTGTTTTACAATCTGAGGAAAGCAGAGGACAGAGAAAAATGGTGAGAGCTGGTTGTCAGAAGCAGTGGTGCCCCCACGGTTGCCCCAACCACGGGATGGAAGAAGAAGAAAGAAAGTATTTTACAGCGCTCGCAACTTCATAAGGTCATTGAGCGCGTAGGACACATTAAGCAATTTCAATTGGTAAGAAATTTTGAATTTTACGCGGGTGGTGGCCGAATCCTACTCTTTATCGATTTTGGACAACCAAGGGGTCTTTAATGTGTGCAACTTGCACATGGGACCTCCAAGATTTTGCGCCCTTATCTGAGAAGGCTAGGTATAGATCTCACCTACCATACGATCAGGGGTGTGGCTGAAACACAGCGGTTATGAAGGAGTCATGGAGAAGCAGTAGAAAGGATGCAGACTGAGTCAGGAGCCCAGAAGAGGGGGCAAAGGGGGTGAGGGGGTGGGGGCAAAATGTGGAGACGAAAGCAGACGACAGAACAATGTAAGAGAGAGCAGGAAAGGATGTGAAAGAAAAACATTTTAAAGAAAAATTTCCATCGCTATCCGGATTCTAACCTGCTACCTATTGAATGAGAGGCAAACACCTTAACCTCTAGACCACGAGAGCCCCCCAATGCCAAAGTTTAAACTTTAAATAGTGGAGAGGAGGGTTCTCCAAAGAACATTTGTTGGACTATGAATATGTCTTTATTGTAGAGATGGTAAATAAGTTCAACAGTTTCAGTTGACCAAGCTATCAAAAGACGTGTGATGTAAACAAATTAATAGTTGACACAATTGTGAAGCAGAAAAAATCATCAACCTTTACGAAAAAAAAAAAACTTGCTTGTTTAAAAATCTGCTACAATTAGTACTTTCAGACACCTGTACACATCTCAATTGCTTTACGATAGAACATACTCACTTAACACCACTTCAGTTAGTGGCAACTCGTGGTGTGAAACAAGGTAACCTTAACAATCAACATAAACGATTAGTGAAAATTGAACATAAGACAGAAATCACAAAAAGTTCTTTACATAAAATTAGTTTTGAAACTTTATACCTTACACATCCAATAGAAACGGTAAAAATATTGGAAACAATTCAATTCAAAACAAAACCAGTGACAAGGAAATAAAGAAAAAACCTTCAGGTTCAGCCTCTAGCTCCAAGGCTCTTGCTCGCTCTTCTTCCTCTGCCTCTTCTTTCCTCCTCTTCCTCTCCTCTTGCCATTCTTTCACGGTATCAGGAAGATTATACACTGAAAGAGAAAACCAGCAAAAGATTATGTCAATACAGAAAATAAACTGTAAAACGGAGATAATGATTATTCCCTAGAACACAAATGAAAGCGAAATTTGAGAATATAAGCTGTTAGGACCGATAAGCTTCATCACTTCAAAGACTGCTACACAACCCTACTTGACACCCTTTGACAGTCTCAGGCACTGGATTTAAATAATTCAATGGAGAGTGGACTATGATACCTGTACATCTATAACTTCTTAACACTATGCCCCCCAGGGACGCCGATCGGCGACGGTGTGATATAGGGTGTACCGCATCCGCATCCTTGTCCGTGGGGATAAGAGTTGCGCGCTCTGCGCACTGCGTGGGAGGAAAGTGTTAAGCAATGCTGCTCTACAGGACAAAAACCTTTACACAATCAGTAGCTCACAGCTTTTCCTACAGAAAGAAATTGACCACTTCATAGCAGACAAAAATCTATCACTTTCTATGGGATATAACAGTACTTCACAGTTATGATTTAAGAAGCACATGTTTCTGATTTAGGTTTGGATTAAAACTTTATCATTTTCAAAGTGCTTCATTTTATAAGTGCTGAAATAACCCCAATATTGACTGATATCTATGTAAAAGAAAATGTCTTTTAATAGCTAAATTACTCAGTAGCTTAGAAAGCTGCCTATATGAAACAGAATGTGTCATAAAAAACTAATAAAGCTACTTTGAATACTTAACAAAAGAGAAGCCCTCAGGGCTCACACAGATAATGAAAATCAGCATGGGCGTATATGCAGTAAGAGTGATCCCCCTGTTCCCTTCTCCCCCAGGTAATGAGCAAAAGATAGCAACTGGTCTGAAAATACAATTAGATCTCGTGAGCTTTTGGCATTCAACAACAAGACAATAATTTTTTTAGAGCCTTCAACATCTGTGTGCTAGTTTTAATTTAATTACAAGCAACAGCTTGAAGCTCTGGAACAATACTTTCACGAAAATTGCCTTGTCAAGATGAGATCTATGAAATGATTAACAGATCTCTCTGTAGAGCGGGTGCATCTAGTGCATGAAATATATCAATCCAGACAGGAAAAAAAAACAAGTCTGTAAAGCTTAATTTCATTTCCTCTCGTCTGGAACATGAGCAAAATTGAAATGTCATCAACATATGAGTGATGGGCCAGAACAGAGAATATTTACACAATGCAGTGGAAAAGAAAGTTCAAAAGTGTTTGAGACTAGGATCTTTTCTCATAAATCATGGGGTAGCACTAGTAGCAGCACAACCATTGTAACTCAGATTTTTCAAAGTTAAAAAACTGATTTTATACCACTATATTTATCAACAATACCAGGAAGCTCAATTTAAAGTGTATTTTCACAAAATATCACACGATTCTGAGGTTTCTACAGGACGTGTGACCTTTCCCAGAGCCCTGGAATATATATAAAAGTGACTTTGGCCAGAACTAGGAGTTACGATACTTGAGATGCTACCCTGTGAAATATTCTATAGTGAGCTGATTGCTCACCACTGTGTCACCTTTTCTTATCAGTTAATGTTATTAAGACATGCAATCTTGAAGAGCGAAACAGACCAAAGTGACTGAAGTATTCCATTGTGACTACCTAAGCAAGACATAAGAGTTGAGAAGAACACTATGTGATTGTCACAAGTCAACAGACCTCAGGGCTGGACAAAAGTAATTTTTTAAGATAAGACAAGATCAGTTTTATAAATTATGTCCATGACAAAATTTGATATAAATTGATACTCTATGGGATATGATTTTGTATGCTGAACAAGCAGTACTATAGACACAATCCCCTGTTTTGCAAGTACATTTTCAAAATTTGAATACTTTAATTAATATTTCTAAGGAAACTCCTAAAATCTGATGATAGTCTCCTTTCTTTGATCTAAAATAAAAGTTCAGCTAAAATTCACCAATAAAAGGAAACACATGTTTAAACAGTAGATTTGTTTTTAATAGTTGGAAATCCGACAAGCAGGGGTGCACGTAACAGTTGTGGGAGTGTCAAACTCCCTGTCAGTGCTAGCATTATTAACAAAGGGCCATAAGCAAGACAGGCACATAATACTATAAAATTCTTGCTGCAGCCAGTTGGATGAGACATGAGGGAACCAACAACTTATCAAACTGAAAGAGTAACAATACGTCTCCTTTACATACACTCATACAAAAAAATAAAGTACACAAAGAAACAAAAAAAGTGGTTGGTCTTGTGCTCAATTACCTCCTATCTTTCAACATTACCTGAGTAAAATAAGAACACCGAGAGTTGAAATGGCCAGAGATCAAGGACGCGAGGAAACGGGATTGACTGGAGTTCTTCTTCCTCAACAACGTCTGTCTCTGATGTGACCTGCTTTTTTTTCTTCTTTTCTTTCTTCTTTTTTGTGCTCAAAACTTCTTCCTAAGGGGAAAAAAAAAAGTATAATTCAGTCCACAATGACAAATACCGTCGAACCTGTATATGACGGCCACCCATTGTCAAGGAGAAAAGTGGCAGTATAAGACAGGTGGTCGTCTTAGGCAGGACTGATCAAGATGAAGAAAACAAACCCTTCCTTTCTGAGGTCCCAAACGAAGATAGTATAGCCGTATTGTTGTTGTTATCATTGTTGTTGTTTTTGCTGTGTTTTTTTTTTCTTCTTTTTTTTTTTTTGTTGCTGCTTTTGTGCAAGGGTGACAATAAAACGAAATGTGTCAGACAGGGAGGACCGAGTGCTATGGTAAAACAAACACATGGGTCGCCACCACTCGAAGAACGAGCGACGCATCTGTCTCAAGTTCATGTTGACGTCCATTGTTACTTTGTTACAGACTGGGTAAACACTGACCCCTCATCTCACTTATGATTTGTGTATGAGTTCTGGGCGGGGCTTATAGGTTAAGAGGGATCACACACTTACCTCAATGGCAGCTGAAAATTTGTTACCTATTGGTCAACAGTGAGAGGGGCCTACGCAACATGATTGGTCAGAGGGACTACCTAACAACAATGACAGGTGATTGAATTATGACAGCTTGCTCACAATGCCAGGGGCCAATGCACAATTTATGACAAAATGTAATGGAGTCACTAAGGTGGCCGTCTGAGACAGGAGATATTGCTTGGTGTGATGAAGCCATGTGTGTTAAGATATGGTGGCCGCGGCCACGTTGGACAGGTGCCTGTTTTACAGTTAAATTATACAGAAAAAACGTAAGGGGGGAAATGGAAAGTGGCTGTTTGTACAGGTGGCCTTCAGGGCAGGTTCGACTGTACACAATTGTCTGACAAAGTATAATTTGAAAACAGACTTCATGAAATAAAAAAGAATTGGGGCACAGGGACAAACGTTTTCTTGTACCCCACAGCTTTAGGCCAGAAATAAATTTTAGAAAGATTTTCATATTGCTCTGAGCAAAACAAAGTTTCTCATAGTGAGTATCTAACAGATATTTAGGGTGCAGAAGATTAAGAAATTAATAACAGCTTTTTCCATATTATTGACAGCAACATTTTGAATTAAATATATATTTTTTAAGAAAGAAGAGGTTTGTTTCAAAGAAAGTTAAGTCAAGCTCAGAAATGCAAAATGGATCATAAGTTAAAGATACGCTATGAATCGTATAACTCTTCTCAGACTCATTGTACAAAAAGGAAATCGCTCTAAATACTAATTTAACATTTATCCCCATAGCCCATAATACAAAAATATATGAAGAGAAAAGTTTCATCCACTCTAATAAAAAGAGGAGTTGTGAAGTTTGCAAACAATATTTCATTAAAGCCTTCTGATTTAACAGAACATCTCCAATGTCTGTGTAAGAATAAATGCAGACCTATAATGAAGCAAAAACACAGTAGCTTTATTTACCAGCACAAGTCTCCTCTCGATGTAGATTCCCCAAGCAACAAAATATTGGCCGATGGTGATTATGACCGCTAGCACCATGGCCAGTTCGTACAGGCCCATTTTGCGGGCTCGTCGGTAATAGTACACAGGCTGGCGCCAGTCTGGCAGACCTTCCACCAGTACTTGATTGTACCTTAGAGAAATCCAGGCCAAAATTGGTGAAAATAATTCAAAACAATATATTTTTTTACATATTACTAATGTGACATTATACTACTCCCCCCCCCAAAAAAGAAAAAAAATTAATTAATAAATCAATCAATCAATCAATCAATCAATCAAAAATAAAAATAATAAACAACTAGATCTACTGCAGCAACTCACAACATGCGGGTAGTATTGCATACAGATGTATCTCAAAGGCTGCAAAAAATGACTTATGTCTGTATGCAATACTGCCCACGAACAGCAAGTTGAATTCTCTTTCTGTGGAAGCAATCTTTTTCATCTGTACATGAAAAAAAAAAGTAAAAGATAATTTAGTTTCAGTTTAAAAATCAATTATCCCTTAGTCATATATGACATGCCCAATAAACTTACAGACCAATTTCCAAGTTAAGGTTTAATATATATGTGCAGTCTTAAACTATTTGTTAAAATCCAAAGAACCCATACTTCTCTCTTTTCTGAGCATCTTTGAGGACCTCATATATTGCGACGATCTGTTGAGAAAAAAAGAGGGTGGAGCAATGACAAACAAATAATGCGTGTCATTCTTTTCAAGCTCAATATTTTTTTTTACTGTTGTCTTTTACAACTGAATTATATAAAGAACATCTGATCTTAAAAAAGAAAAGCAGGGCTTAGTAGTGATGGAATAAAACATCATGGCACTTAAGGGCATCTGATTTACTCATAAATTCAAAATTTGCTATCCTTTTGTCTTGCTTGAAGATTACGCAAAGACAAATGAGATAAACTCTTTCATTCTTATTTAGAAGTTTTCTGAAATAAAAGAGACGAAAAAGACTAGCTGCAAAAAAATGCTATTACAATTAGATTATATCTGAAAGAACCCAAGGAAAGGGAAATGAGTTTGGAAAACAGAAAATAAACTGCAGTGCACCATAATACTTTGACAAACTCAGAAACAGGGAATTTCTTTGCATGGCACAAGTCTACATTACTGTTATAAATTGAACCTAAATGTAATATCAAAACTTTAAAAAAAGACTCTTTGTGTATTCATTAGATTCACAGTGCAATGTAAAGGGAAATGTTGGCATCGAAGAATGAATCAGAAATCTAATATAAATTGATAAAAGAAAATGGTCAAACCTGTCTAAACTTCTCTTCTGCATTTTCAGCATCATTTTTATCAGGATGGTACAGTAGCGATGCTCTGCGATATGCCTTTCTAACTTCTGATGTTGTGGCAGACTGAAAAAAAGATGATGAGGTAATAATAATATCTGGTGACATAAGTAAAGGTAGAAGGCAATGTTAAAAAGTTCAGAGGCACCACAAAAGGATTTATGATATAGAATACAATACAAACACTATTGGTAGTAAGTAGTGATTGAATTGTGCCCAGAAAATTCCAGCTGAAAGCAAATTTTTCAAATTTGTTGGGGGAAAACGCAGATTAAAAAAGAAAGTCACTGTAGTGCCCGCAAATCTGACAATCCATAGTGTCATCTTCATGACATGATCTTCCGGAAAGCTCTTTTTTTAACCTTCATTAAAAGATCTGCTTGTGAAACTTTGTTAAACAACTGGGACAATAAATATGAGAAATAAGGAAACAGGAACCTATCCACCTCAGGGTTGGTCAGTGTTATTTTATCTGTAATTTCAGTCTTAAATGATAATTTCATCCCAGAGGGTTATGTAAAAAAAATCTATGACGGAAATGTGAAACTGAAACAGGTCAACCACATCATCCCTATAAACTTTTAAAACTTGTTCAAGGCTTTGCTTCCCCTGTTTTGTTTCCTCTTGTTAATTTTGTATGAACAGAGGTGTCCTCCAAGCCATTTTATCCCTTGCTTTTCATTTCATAATCATAACTTAATAAGTAATAATTTAATGAATAGCATCGGTAGTAAAGGAATATCTCTAACATTTGATTTAAACATGGAAGGAAAAGTTCTTGTACTGAATTAAAGTGACGGTAATCAGATTATTCCTTGACCTAATCGTCAAACATCTGCGATGTTTAAACCACAAAGTTTCTCAACTTCAGTTGAAACCCTCCCCCCCCCCCCACCCACCCCTTCCAACAAAGACTAAGCAAATGCCAGGAAAAAATAATAATATACTCTGGTAAAAAAAAACATTAGAGCCCTATAATTTCTAAAATCAAATTATGGCCCAAAATGTAATAATAATGAAATATAGAATATATAATACAGTAGTCTTCGCCTAAGATCCCACCACTTACGATCCCTGAGTGCTTAAGATCCCACTGTTTTTTTCAAGAAAACAGAATTTTTACTATGCAAGTCACCCCTAAGATCTTGCTCTGATTCACTCTGAAGGTGTACATTCGGCTAAGATCTCGCATTTCAGATCATAATTTAAAGAACAAAAAAAACGGGTGGGCACAAACGATCAACCAAGGGCAAAAAGTTGAGATCGTCGAAATGCCTGTCGGGTGAACGTGATCACATTAGTGTTGTAAAACTCGATGAAATGGGACAATGTTTGCCCCAGACGAGATCACACTGAGGTGTGAACTGACCCACGTGTTTGTTGTTCCCCCAAACATTGCACTCGCATCTGAGCTCTCTGCCTAAACTTATATCACTCGCTGGGTAGATAGGGCTTACAAGTTTGCTACAGACAGGATCACATCGGACTGTGAACTCTTCCCTGACCATTGCACCAGTTGTCTCTATTCCTGAATCAGCGGAGTTATCCAATGCTTACTTTAAACTTTAGAGTAGGCATCGAAGTGATTACAACGTAATGGTGCGAAACGATAAAGGTGGGGGAACTCTGTCAGAGATGGAAAGCTATAAATTTTGGACAGGGAGGGGCAACGGTATAAGTGTAGCTCTTAAGACTGACGATACGATAATAAGTGTAAATGGCATGCCTCATGCTACTGTGATTGGTTATCAAGGTTGACCACTCTTTGCTCGCCATAAACCCACCACGGGGTCACATCAGTTCAATTTAGAGTGGAAGGAGACCATTTTATCACTTGTGGGCCTTAACACGGGTCATTGTATGTTCTTCCCTTGATGTGTCGGTTAAGATCTGTTCGCCTAAGATACTGCATTTTCCTTGCTCCCCAGCACCGGGATCCAAGGCGGAGACTACTGTAAGTAAGCCATTCATTACTTGAATCACACTTGGGCGGATTGTTTGGAATTTCTTACTTCAAGTAATTTCAATTAGTAATCCGAATCTGAAATAATGAAGCTTTTCAATACAAGTACTTCTGTCCAGTAGTGCTGGGCGGTACCGGCAAAACCCAGTGTCGATACGTTCTCGGCGCCGAGAACTGCCTGGTTCTGGGAGTGACACCAGGAGATGACGTCACAGACTTCACGTCTTGCGTGTAACGCCACGATCACCCGCCCCGCATCGCCCCCCCCCCCCTCCAAAAAAAAAACCCAACCACACACACACTCATGTCAGAATTGAAGAGGCGAACTGAGACGCAAAACACCATTAAAGTTTGCCGCCGCGTGGGATTAACTTTGCTTTCAAAACTTTAAAGTTAATTATCGCCACTAAAAATTGATTTCATTTGCGGAATTAGCATATATATCAAAATAAGCAAAGTGGCTCATGTGGAACCTGATTTGATGCAACATTTAAATTAAATTAAATTTAAATTTTAACCGGGAGTTCCTGTACTGGGTACCGGTACCTGCCCATCCCTACTGTCTAGGCTCAGCCAAAACTTTATGAAACAACACTTACACTAACTTAAGGGAGTGGGCAATACTGACTGAGTGGAAGTCAAAGGAAATGAAAATTCTGGATAATCCGATTTTGGCCCCAAAGATTACAATTTAAAATACTAATACTACCCTACTACTCTAAAATCCTATCCCTAACCCATATATGTAAAAAGTTAGGCTTCCAACTCATATTTAATTACTCTTGAGGCCAAAACCGGTGATTGCTGAAAACTCTTCGTGGATGGTCATATAGTAGAAGTAAGAACTTAAATAAATTAGAAACGACTTCCGTAACCAGCGACCAACCCCAACAAACACAATATAAAGAAGAAACCTAACCTTAACCCAAACCCAAACCAAAACCCTATCCCTACCCCTAGATTCTACTCTGTCTCATAGTGGTCGAACATAAGTCATAGCATAAAATGAATTTATTCTTTCGATGGCACTCTTCGGGAGAAGTGGTCCCGGCCTACCTCCATAGAAATAACACTACAGGAAACAAAAATGGAAGTCGAATACAAAAGCTGGCTAAGTCACACTCACTGATTACTTATTTATTTTTATAATGTCTTTTTTTCAAGTTCGATTTTTCTATATTTTCTATCCTATTTTTTTCATCATTGGGTGGCCTTTTCACTTTTCTGCACCCTGGTAACTCAGCCAGTGTTTTTATTTGACTTACGTTTTTGTTTCTCGAAGTGGCTAGCCGTACTTAAGTACGGTTAGCATGCCAGTCTTGCCGTCCTTAAGTATGGCTAGCCTAGCCGTCTAGCCTTACTTAGATTAGGTCCTATTCTATAGACCGAAACCTGTATGGTACACAGGTCTCATTAGATTTAGTAATCATTCAGGTTTAAAATACTTGCATGTCAGAAGGCACCTCTTTTAGTTTCGTCTGAAATACTAAATAGTTTCTAAGGTATTGCCAACTAAAATTTTACTTTTACAATTTTAGCCATCTTTATTAAGAACGGCTAGCCTGCCAGTCTCGTCGTCCTTACGCCTTAAAAGAACGGCTAACCCTGCAGACTGGCCGTACGTCTAAAGGTCAGGCCACATGCGATTAAATGTAGAAAGACGCAAACTATTTTTAGGTAAGGCGCCCATCTTGTTTGACGTCAGACCAGGATACCCCTCCGATCACGTGACTACAACCGCACAGCACCAAAGATGGAAGTGTCTATGTTATATTATACTTATTCTACACCTCGCTCTCGGAAGTTCTGATGGCCCGGTTCGATCCCGGTCCCGGACAGTTTTGTTTTTTTTCTCCTCCTCCCGACTGACCAACAGTCCCATAAATTATAATTTGTAGAGCTGCTTTGAAGTTGTTGGGTTTTTTTTTAAGTACATAGATGATAGTGATGAATTCGGCTAATCCCCCCCCATACAAGGGGGGGGGGGGGGGGGGGCGGGGGTAGATCTAGATTCTAGATCTAGATTTTTATCTAGTTCTAGGAAATCCGAAATGTTACCGAAAACACGTCATTCCATGTGGATATCCCAGAAAGTGATGACATCACAGTACTAAAATTAGCAGCCAATCAGAAAGATGCGTCAATTCTACGTTTAACGGCATGTGGTCAGGCTCTACAGTAACTTGAGTAACTCTACTATTGACCAAAACTACGACACAACAGGTCTCATGATTAGTAATTGTTCAGGTTTAAAATGAACTGTCCGAGCACCTTTCGGTTTCGTCTCAAATACAAATATTAGATCTATCTAGATCTAGAATCTAAGGTATTGCTGCTTGCAAACTAAAAATTTTTACAATTCAGTAGTCAGTAGGCCTATTTTTTGCTGTTTGTCAGTCTAGCCCCATCATTATTAGTGCGGCTAGCCTCTTTGTTTGTTTCCGATTGTGTTAAATTTCTAAGGAGGTAAGCCAGGACAACTTCTCCCGAAGAGTTGTAGAATGATATTACAGTAAGGTAGGGTATATTACTGAACGGATGGCCTTCCCGGCTCCGTAGAGTTCCGTCCAAGCCGTATGTGTGTAGCACAGCCACAGCAAGTAAGAAAGAACTTTGCAGCAGCTGACACATCGGTTGAACTAAAGACTACTAAGGTGTAACTAACAGTTACCTGATCAATTTCCAACACTTCGTAAAAGTTAGCATTTACTTCTTCCACAAGGTCAAATAATTCAAAGTCATCAGAATCCCAGCAAAACCCAGACAATACACAAGTAGCAAGTAATGTCAACGTAAACACAAGTCCACTGGAAGTCGCCATTTTGAAATGGGGGGTTTCAGTTAATGCTAAGCTGAAGAGTTTGGTGCGGTTCATTATATTTAAGAATAGTCATGTTGTTTAGAAAAAACACAATTTTATCTTTAAGAATTCCTTTTATTACGGTATAAAAAAAGAAATTGTGCTCAGATTGAGAAAATTTTATAGTTCATTTTTTACTACTAGTAACCCCTCCCCTTGACCTAAATAATCAGCTATGTGAACTTTGTGGAAAAAGGGGCCAACACCTAGACGGTCAGAGATAGTGCAAGAACGTAGGCCAATATCCATAGATGTGAAATAACCACAAAATTCTACACTTAGTGTAGAATTCTGTGGAAATAACTCTATGCCAATACCTGAGAGTGAGAGATAGGCCAATACGCGAGTTGAAAAACAGAAGAGCTATCACGAGTTACGGTCATCCTCATATCTATCTATCTATCTATCTATCTATCTATCTATCTATCTATCTATCTATCTATCTATCTATCTATCTATCTATCTATCTATCTATTATATATATATATATATATATATATATATATATATATATATATATATATATATATATATATATATATATATATATATATATATCAGGCGCGGTTCGTCCATAGAGCACGGTCGTGCAGTGCCGTCCAAAATGTTTTAATGTTCTATGACGTAAAGCACCCACAATAATAAAATGAAAGACGCCAGAAACAAACACTAGTCAAATATTATATCAAAGCAAGGCCCTCGCTGGCGCCGTACCTGTCATTTCTATTCTATAGCGCCGTAAAACATCTACTATGCCATGCCTAAGTGCATGCGCCGTATCTAAACATAACAGGATAGTCAACAGTGGAAACCTTGCCTATAAATCGCTCTTTGGGATAACCCAAGCGATGGCGTGACTTGTAGAGAGTTTGACGGTACATTAATATTAATAAGACTGCACATCTCAAATGTGCTCCTGCCGAATAGCGCCGAAACATATCCCACAGTAGGCAATCTAAAAATAAACGCCATAGATTGTGTACTATTCCATGCCAAAATTATGTGGGCCCCGGAGCAATCCAGCGGAGTGCTCAAGTGAATTGTGATTGGTTCATTGTCTTGTCGCTATTTTAAGTGACTCTGTGACCGTGAACCTGAGGGAGGTGAACGTGACATACTTAAGTCGCCGTCCTATGAGTTGTGCTTTTGAACGGTTTTGTTGTGGAGTGGTGAAAGGTATTACTTGAGTGTTCAGTTTTGATGCAGGATGAATGAAATTAACGTTTAGCTAACAAACTGATTTAGTTCTAAGAGTCAAAGCCACAAGTAAAAAGAATGAAAATAAAAGCACAAGGTGCTTCCTTCGCCAACCCAAAGATTCTAAAATTGTACTCCATCCCATTTACTCTGCCCTTGATTATCTTCAGCCTAAGATAGCTTAATTGTGCACGCCCACTTTTTAGACCCACGAGCCGCCCCTGATATATAATGTATGGAAGTGCTTATTTAGGCCACATATGGCCTAAATAAGGTAAGGGAGGGGGGGTTTAGCTTATCTAGGCCACACATGCTCAAACTACCCTTTTCAGGCAACTGAGTTCGTTCCACTTTCATAATGGTACACCTTTCTCATTTAGTACAGTTTTGTCTCAGTGTACAACTTATAAATCATAATCATAATGAATATTGTAAGAACAAACCACAATACGCAAAATTTTGCTCAATCCCAATGGTTTTTATGAGGGCCAGATTTTTCCTTCATGGAGAGGCAAAAGCTAGGCTACCATTTTGGCACACTTTGGTCAAGTGAAAAGGTCAAATCCTCGAATGGAGTTCCGGGTCAAATTTGGGGTATAAAAAGTGTGTACACAACGTGGCTAGTGGCTGAGTCAAAGTTACACTATCTTTGCCTGAGTGGCACTCTCTCGTACTGTCTCGTAGTAGTACACGTAGTAGTAGTAGTAGCAAAGATCGTGTAGAGAATCTTTGGTACACATGTAGTAGATTCTATCTAGTAGGCAGTTTAGTGAACGTGCACGCGGCAGGGCGATTCGGCCTCGATAGGCCCTGTAGACTTTTGTGACCGGCCCGAAGCCTCGTGTTTTGATAGGTCTAAACAACTCAGTGTTAATCGCACTGCCACATCCGACAGGCCTACTTCTTTTTAAAAGGAAAAGAAAGATCATCACCATTGTTGAATTCGCGTGAAAATCAATTCGGTAGAACTGGAACTATTAAAAATTTGCTTCTGAAAACAAGGCATTTTTATAACTCGATGAAATAAAAACTGCTGCCCATGTTATTCTGTATCAATTATGAAACTTCAGGACGTATTATTATTTTTCCAACATCTTTTGGCGCCTGAGCTGTAGAGGTTGAAGTTTTCACAACACTAATAGATCTAGGGCTTTCCGTAAAAATGCATAGATCTACAAAAGCCGAACCACCGAATTGACCGGTCAGCAACCCAGGCACCCCGCTCTCCCCTGCACACTGTGATAACGGTGTTGCTTCGGTATCGAATTATTCAACTACATGTATTAATTCGTGCGGCTATGGCTATTGGGATGTACAGACTGACAAAACACTTCACAGTTTTGTTTTTATTTTACCATAATTATTTGACTTTTGAATAGTGCAGGTGATAGATAAATCTAGATTCCCTGTCTAGAATGAATAGTAGTAGGCCTAGAAGATCTAGGCTAGAAGCAGCCAGAGAGCATACAACGGCAAGATCTAACTTAAATTGCTATATATGACTATATGCCTCTGAGTTTTGGGATTGAAATAAAAAGAATTGCACAGAGTTCTATTTAATTTTAGATTCAGCATCTAACTATATTTCCAGAGTTGATAATATCAAATCTCACCATAACAATCACTTTTACTTTCATTACAATAATTAGATCCAAAATTTATAAAATCTGTTTTGCTCAAACTCAAGATTTTCTTTGCTAGCACAGCACAGAGTTTAAATTGTAAGCCTCTGCTCTCTCTTTCAGTATAAAATGCATAATGCAATCATTTTACGTTATTTTCTGGATATTTTAAAAACTCTTTAAATTATCAAATTGTGCCATTTTCGTTGATAATAAGAATAGCATTAGCAGTGGACTTTTTAGACAGCGAGTCTGTGATTCAATATTTTAAAAAAAATAATGCTAATCAATGAAAATTGCTAATTGATTATAGTCCTTGAGAGGATATGTGGCCCCCACGGTCTGCATAGCGAAATACTAAGTTTTAAGATGTGAACCCCGGAGTCACCATAGTAAAATAAGTAGGTTTAGTTTAAGTAAGGCTTGGTTGACCCCGGGGCTAGGCCTTCCAGGGGTCAACGCAGTGAAATAAGCAGGTTTAAGGTGGGGCACTGGGGTCTACCTAACGAAATACTAGGTTTTAGGACAGGTGGACCCCGCGGTCACTGTAGTGAAATAAGTAGGTTTCTTTAAAGATTGGTGGACCCCGGGGTCACCGTAGTGAAATAAGTAGGTTTCTTTAAAGATTGGTGGACCCCGGGGTCACCGTAGTGAAATAAGTAGGTTTAATTAAGGATTGGTGGACCCCGGGGTCACCATGGCGGTATAGTGTAATAAGACGGTTCAATTAAGGATTGGTTGACCCCCGGGTCACCTTGATTAAACCTACTTATTTCACTACGGTGACCTCGGGGTCCACCTATTCTAAAACCTAACTAGCATTTCGCTAGGTAGACCCTGGGGTCCACTTTAAACCTACCTATTTCACTACGTTCACTCCAGGGTCCACCAATCCTTAAAATTAAACCTAAATCTACTTATTTCACTTCGTTGACCCCAAGCTCCACCAATCCTTAAATAAACCTAGTTCTAGATATACTTATAATTTCACTACGTTGACCCCGGGGTCCACCAATCCTTCCAGTACTATAAAGATATCTACTTATTTCACTATGTTGACCCAGGGGTCCACCAATCCTAAAATTAAACCTACTTATTTCATTATGTTGACCCAGGGGTCCACCAATCCTACTATAAAGATATCTACTTATTTCACTATGTTGACCCAGGGGTCCACCAATCCTAAAATTAAACCTACTTATTTCACTACGTTGATCCCGGGGTCCACCAATCCTTAGTTAAACCTAGATCTACTTATTTCACTACGGTGACTTCGGGGTTCACATACATTCCTAAAACCTAGTATTAAGCTAGGTAGACCCCGAGGTCCACCTATCCTTTTGACGAAATAGACCTCGTGGTCCACCTATCCACTTTCTTGATAATAACTGAAAACATTAGTTGTCCTAATTGCGAAGAAAAATTTGTGAAAAAAAAAAAGATAACGAGGTAAACTATAATTTGTCCCAAAAAAATGCAAGTGCAAGTGAAGATCATAAGAAAATTTTGTAATTTTCTGGTAATCTTTTCCCGGTTTATATGTTCCAGTGGGCCTACTACTAGATCTATGTCTCTGGAGAACATTTTGCTTGACTTTTTAAACTTTTTTATGTACTTGAAAGCATAAAATATAGTTTCACACAAATATGCACAATGCTTTGAAAAAGAAAGATAGGTAATTGGTTTTTAAAAAAAATGGAATCCGTTTTACATTGAGAAAAGCGCTAAAAACAAGTTTAAAAATGTTTTAGAATGCCCATAATATTAGGAAATTACTCGCTAGTTGGCTTACCCTTTAATAATCATGAGCAGTTAAGAAAAAAAAAAGAGAATGAAATAGGATTTGTCTAAATATGAACATTAGCAATAAAGATATTGCCCATTTTGTCCGATTATCTTTGTGGGAGATTTTTAAAATCACCCTGTACTGTACCTCAATAAGTACAAAAAGAATATGTGAGGCAGCGTGGTGGAATCAGGCTCTCGTCAAAATAATTAAAGTGAAGAAACTTGCATTTTTCCGCAGGTTTGTGAATTTTTATCCAGTTTTTGTTTTTTGACTCAGCACCTTTCATGCCCATTAAAGAACCCATTTCTGTGTGGATTTTTCTGAAAAGCGTTGATTAAAGGCACAAAAGTGTAAATTTTCAGTTACCACGGACTCTT